ATTTTTGAGGATCCATTTTGAAAGAAGGACCTGAAGGCGGAGGTACACAAAGCCACGATGATTGCTGTCTGTGGGGGACATCGTGCATCCTCAGGCTGTTGGTCCAGCTCTCAAAGCACCTACTATTCCCAGGAAGCCTGCTGATGCCTTAAGACAGGTATCTGCATTTCCTCCATGTGCTTCCATTCCCATGGCATTGGAGGTGGGGGAACACCTTGCTTTAACTACTGCACTTTCAGGGAAAAATGAGAGCTAAGTTCCCTCATAATCTGGTTTGGTATGTTTTCCAGCAGAGAAAAATTCTGGGTATCAGCTTCCTCATGTGGACCTGAATCTGTGTGTGCTCAAGTGAGATTGTGTGATCTCAAACACGGAACCATTATGTGCATATTTTACTCAATAATTCCATTGTCTGAGTTTTACTCAATCTTCTCAGAATTGCTTCTCTTGCAGTTATTTTTTCTTTATCTGGTTCATTATTCAGTGTTGAACTAACACTAATGACGGAACGAACACCAATAAGGGAGAGAGAGATAAGTTGACTTCTGAGTATTTGTCCCTGAAAAGTTCCACAGAAGAGCACTCGGAAACACGGAACCTGCATGAAGGAGGCAGAGCCCCATCCCTCTCCAGACCCCCAGTGCATCCTTGGGTAATTCACCCCCTTTTCAGGTGCTTGCTATTTTGTTGAGTATCTTGAAAACTCACAAGTAAATCCAAAAATCTATCTTTCTGTACATAGTAGCAGTACTGTGCAGGGTAGCCTTGGATGAGATAGGGAATTCCTTTTTGAACCTGGGCACTGACAAGTGAATGCAGGTCAAAATGAGTACAGTCAGCTTCTTCCAGCATTTATTTTTATTTGCCATTTATTTTTATTTACTATAAAAATTGAATATTTATTACACAAAAAGTACTTTAGAAACAGTAAAATTTACCAAAACCTACTGAATCAAGGGATTCAGTAGGAATTTAAACCTGAGGGCCAAAAAAGTTGAACAGAATCTTATATTTTCTAATAACTCATTACCAGAAGCAAAAACCAATTATATACACATCCAAATATGTGACAAAGATAAAATAACAAATGCTAGGTTTTACTGTGAGCTAACAAAAGAAAATGTCTCTACTCAAGATTGGCCCATTATTTCACTAAGAACAAAACATTTGAGGAATTAAAAAAAACAAACTGTCTTGAACAACGTTAACATTTAGGCTGATACACAACGTATGTGCACAAATATTATTAGAATGATATTCTAATACTATAACCCTTTGTATTTTTAAAATTGCACCATCTCTGTTAGAGATAATGTACACCATGCAAAAAGCATTCATACTTGTTTTTCTCAGCAATAGAAATAATTGTTAAATGCAAAATTTAAATATGAAGTTTAATTGTAAGCCATCTCAACTCAGAACTTTGGCTTATGTAGTCTGTGTTAATGTCTTAGTGTTGATGAAATTGTATATGTAAAAAAATGTTAAAGTAACTGTAGTCCATTACCAACAGTACTTAGTAGATAGTTCCTGCTATTACAGAAGTAATGGACAAGAGACAGGAAGAGACCAATTAAATAGGAGTGCAGGTTTTTTTCATTGCTTCAGCACTTCATATCCAGCTAAASAAAAGAAATAATTACATTGAGGGCATTTTGTAACCATTATTTCATATATATGTCTTCAGAATACAAATCAGGATACAAAACACCTTGTCCTCTCTTTCACTAGTCTTTCTCTTGTTTCCAGAAAAAATAAACACAGATACTGAAACGATGTACAGTAAATGAAAACAAAGTGGACCTACAGTTTTATTTTCATGCTTTTGGCAGGGCTGAAGGATTACGAGATTAACTCTAAATACTAAAGGGAAGCAAAAAGAACTATCCAGGTATTATTATAGGCATGGGCTTTGCCCCCTTTCCAATAAATACATGTTCAGGTGCCACTGAAAATCCTTTAGAACTAATATATTCTGTTACTATACAAGTGCTGATTGAATTTAACAAGGTGGGTGAGTGGAGAAGGAAAATAAAATACCTTTTATGAACAGGGTGTTGCTAAGAGAATATAAAGATGAACAGATAATTTTATTGAAATAATGTCAAATCCACAGAATTGTTTGATTATTTTAATGAATCCATCAATATTATGCAGTATTTTAATTAAATGTAGTATTTGAATCATGAAACACTTAAAGAACAGAAACAAAAATTTCTCCATCAAACAATGTTGTGCAAATAAATCAATGCAGCACACCTATTGGGACTCTTTCACAGCACTGAGATCTTGAGGATCTCATTTACCCTGTTTTAACATAAATATTAAGTGACAGTAAAATATGATGACACTCAAGGGGGAAATGTTAAGACTGAGAGTAAAAAATGAAAATATAGTACCTATGTGACGCACAGATATACCCTGATGTAGATTAGGGGAAAGAACACTAAATCTTTGCAGGAATGATCAAAAACACTTAATGGTTTTCCTTTAAAGGTCATAACTAACAGAACACTTAAGTTATGAATTTTAAAAAAAATTGCTGTCCTTGCATTAACCTACAACCTCTTGCAATTTTGGAAAAAAATATTAAATATATCCAAAACCAATAAATTATAATTTGCACTCACGGAATATGTGTGTCTCTGTGTGCATGCAAATAAAATGAACCAATGCTATTTTTTTAGTACAAGTCATAAACGTTTTAAACTTAATTCTCTATACTTAGATTTTGGAAAATACACTCTTGGAAATCAAACTCCAACTAAAGTCTCGTAATTATAATCTAGCAAACTTCATTTAAAAATTCTCTTAAGTGAATATCTACACTTGCAAAATAAAGATCTGCTCCAACAATGTAGTAAAGGTGGTATCAACACCGTATTATTTCATAGGTCAAGCAGTGGTGTCATTGTTTACTGTGTCATTGCTGTGTTGTTTCAAAAAGCTACTTAAACATTGATGTACAAGATTTAAATAAAAAGACATTTGAAAATTATGGCATCAAGAGCAACAGTTTGCACCAGTAACTATACCCTAGTATGTGGAAAGTAGCTTACATATTCATTATTGGTCGTGGGAGCAATTTGCTTGAATTTATGTAAATGAGGAGGAAGATTTAACCAATGGCTTTCGCACTTGAATGGAATCAATGACTAATCATGCAGGAGTTCTAGTTTGTCAAGTGAACGGTAGCAAATCTGAATTTTGTTTTGAAAACACTTCTTGTAAAAGAGGATAAGATTTTTTTAAATACAAATTATGGCTAATTGTGTGGCCCAGATCAGTACATATGACAATTCTACTGGTAAGCACTAAAATAACCATCAACTCACATTTTAAGAAATAAAAATAACAAAACCTTGCATATAGTCAGAAACTGTGAAGTCCTAGAAGAAAGTTTGATCATTATGCCTGGTTCCCTGAGAACTTCAGTGTTCTGGTTAAAGGCAAGTTTTGGTAAGAAGTATATTTTTGCACTGTTCCTTCCCATTCAGAATAAGCAATAACGTATGAGGCAGCTTTTGAAGCTCAGTATTCTTTACAGCTAAAATTTCATTTAATGTGACTAATTCTTTTCTCTGAACTTCATTCAGTCCAGGCATGTGTGGCAGATGAGAGAAACTGTATTAACTGTACTTTAATATTTTAAAAACTCACTTTCATCTTTCTGGAACAATGCAAGGAAAACATATACTGCACACAATTTCATGTTTACAGTACCCTTTACCCATCATGTCTTCCAGTTTTTTTTTCTAGATGCAGTTAACAGATTACTTCAGAGTTGTATCCAAAATGAGGTGGCATCATAATGCTTAGACCCATTGGAGAAAAACATATTAAAAATGTACATTTCCCAAAAGTGAGTCAGTTGATTTTATTCATTTTAACATGATGCACAATAATAAAAGGCCAAACACAAAGCTCTTTATAAAAAGGAGCAAAATGTATTCCAGAAGAGTTAAAGACATGAGATGAATTTCAGTTAAATGGATCTTTGTGAGCTTGGAGAGCTCATCTTAGACACTGAATAGATGCTGAATGTTTTATTTTATAATCATATCTCGAGATCATGCAGATGATGAAGGAAAAAAAAAACATTTTGCTTTAACATTTACTAAATCCCTAACAAAGTATTTTGAAATCAATTTTAAAATCCAAATCTGTCCCTCTCCCCTCTATCACAGTTTTTGTAAATAACTAAGAATTGTACCCGTACAATTACACAGAGACTAGGGAAGAGAGAGGTAGTTGATGTGGCCATCCTCTCACAAGGAAACCCCCCGAATATTTTAGGGCACAAAACACAAGGCTTTTGTTATCCAAGAGTAATTAGTTGCAGAGTACAAAAACATTTTGGAGCAGAGTGCACAAAGACTTGAGAATCATAAACAGCCCAAACCTAGTATCATTAGTTCTTAAAGAAATGCTATGTTCTCTGTACCTTACAAAAATTATTCTCACAGATATGGAACCCGAGACCATACAATAGAAAATATATATTTTATATAAAAATTTTTAACAAATAAAAAAAGGCTTTGATGATAGATAAGAAGAAATTTTCAAGAATTCATTAATTTTCAGGATGCCCTGAGGGTAACATGTCCTATGTACTCTGGCTCCTGTTCTAGGCAAAGGCCAAAGGTGGGCATTTTCTCAGGGATCCTCATCGTTGATGAAAGAAACCAGATTAAGGAAGACTTAAGCAAGCTGGGAAAGGAAGTAACAGTTAAGCCAACAAAAAAGGAATTTTGCCAAGCATAATATACCCTGCCTAAAAAAATAAAAATAAACAGTAGGAACACAAATCAAAGACAGTGGTGCATTTACATCAGGGAAATTTATATTGATGAGTTTTTATAGTTGTGGTGATAAATATCAAAACAGGAAGTCAGTTAAAACAGGTGTGCAAATAAAGAAATGGAGATGGGGAGGAGGAGGAGGAAAGAAACCTATACTATCCTAAAGGGAAAAATTGCAAAGTAAAGATTCAGTAATTTCACACTCCTCAACCCATCCTCAATGGGTACTTCTTACATCTTAATAAGTTAAAGATCAATTATTCACAAAGTTCCAGTTCAGTGTTTATACTTTTTACCTGTTTAACTTAGGGCAAGATACTGAGTGGCTTTAATAAGATATTTGGTTATGATGCATCACAATTACCACACCCATGTTTCATCTTTATAACTTAGGAAAGTTTATTTCTCTTTTAAAGCCCTGGGGCATACGTTTAAAAATGCCTTTGCAACACAGGTCTCTGATCAACATTTATCTAAGCAAGTCTGCAAACGTTCTGTCACAGGGAGAGGAAGAGTATTGAGCAAACTATCCTCGACGATCAGACAGCTCCGTTTCAGGGACTGACACCCTTCCAGCTCTGGAGGCAGCATTTCCAGGTAATTACCAATGAGCTCCAGATGAGTGAGGTTCGACAGCTCACCCACATGAGGGGACAAATCCGTCAGGCTATTTCTCCCCAAGAATAAACACTGTAGCTTCTTACACTGAAACAGTCCATCTGGCAGTGTCTCGATCTGCAAAGGAACAAAAACAGCTGGTGAGATTGGGTTGGATGGTGTAGGATAGTACATTCACTTGCTAATGCTCTAGCTACCTTTCCTGGAAACATGTCTGCAGGGCTTCTAAGACACACATATTAATGGCAATAAATGAGGTAGCTGAAGGAGAGAAAGGAAAATTAGGGTAGGGGTATCCCATGGAGCCAGGACCCAAATGTGTAAGCCCCGCTGTGCATGGGTGGGCAACTCATTGGGCTCTGACCATCCTCACAAGAGTCTTAAAGAAAACATACTTACATCCTCATTGTGCCCAGGATTAAAAAAAAAAAAAAAAGGTAACTCAGGAGAATCATAATTATTCTTGAGTTCCAAGTCAGAAATAAATTATTCTCAAGAGTCCTTGTAAAGAATTTACAGTATATGTAATGAGCAACATCCTTGAAAACATCCTAAGGACAGACACAAGGCTATTTCTTACATTTTTTTTTCCCCTATCCACAGCCCTTTTTGAGAGAGGGTCTTGCTAAATTGATGAAGCTGGCCTCAAATTTGTGATTCTTCTGTCTCAGCCTCCTGAGTTGCTGGGAATACAAGTGTGTGCCACCACACCCAGTTCTCTTATACTACCTTTTCTCAGTATAGACTGCAACCTGATTCTGTTTTTAAAAGAAGTCTATAGAAGCAGAGACAAAAACATATATAAGATAGACATGTACACATACATACACCTTCTACATACATACACCTCTGAGTGTTTATCTTTCTTCCTGTTCTCTGGCATGGTTTCAGTTGAATAATTCATGTAACAGAGAGGCAATTTTAAATATGAAAAACAACCTGTAAACTAGGTCAACTCCTAGAGCTGCTCCACTCTTGACTGCTCCCCTCTATGGTGCATGGGTTGTGTTGAGTTTCGAAGGGCACCACAGTGCATATATGAAGTAGGGTTCATTTTGGAGAGACCTCCAAACGAAGTTGAGCTCACATAGTCCCTTCAGCTCATCACTCCACTGAGGGTGGGTTTGGGTCAGACTGCTAGACTATATACTTCACCTATAATATTCCACATATTAGCTGGAGACAAACGGCATCTATAAAACAGGGTAGGTTCCTGGGTACAGGAAATGACTTTGCTAGATACAGGGGCTTCCTGCATCCTCTGATGGGCTAATGCATACTGACTGGGCCAGTTCTGTTGGCAGACAAGCTTCTGGAGCCATCCAGAACTCTCTTCTTAACAGGATAAATACTTCTCAAATGAACTTGAAAATTAGTTACAGTGCCCTAAAAAAGTGTTCATTATATTATATAATAAGCTCCCTTTCCTATATAACTAACATATATTCAGTGATGAATATCCTTGAAAGTAAATCACCATTCTTAAGACCAACATTCAACACAGATCATCACTGTAAACACCAAATAGTAGGTATAAGCAAAGGAGAGATATCTATACATTTATTCATTTCTTCTCAAGGGCAGATGCATACACACACACACACACACACACACACACACACACACACACACATCCCCTTCTGCTCAGAGACACTTGCAGCTCAGAAGCAAGGTCAGGAATGTACATGTGGAGGAAGATATTCAGGCCTATGCAGTGTGCTCAGGGGTGAGGGTCCCTGTTGGTGCTTAAGTGAAAACAGGGAAGTCTTGGCTCATTTGTATTCAGTGAATATGTGCTGAGTATCTCATATAAGTAAGTGCCAGGCTCCTGGCAAGGTACAGGGGATGAACTTTTGAGCAAGACTGATGGCCTTCCAGAATATTCATCTAAGGCGGGCTGCCATGAACATCTCAACCTTGGCTCTACTGACATTTTGGGTAGGATGATTCTTGCTGTGGGGCTGTCCTATGCATTATTAGGTATTTAGCAGCATTCCTGCTCTCTACTCCCCAGTTCCAAGAACCAACAATATCTCCAGAAAAATGTCCCCTGAGGGAGCATGAGTACCCACCCCCCCAACTGAGAAGCACTGGTTTAATGGGAGAGAGAAACATTAAATGATTGCACAATTAGTCTGCAATGGGTGGGATAAAAAAGAGTACCCTGACCTGAGTTGTATCTGACCTGAGTTGTATCGGGGAATCCCAGGCCTTCCATTAACTTCAGATTGCCAGCAATTGCTTAATGGGACTGATTTCCTACTGGGTGATTACCCTGAAGCCTCACTCTCCCTGACTGCCTACCTGCTCTAACACATTCCCACCTAACTTCTTTCAAATCGCCGAATCTGTGATTTTAGTGGTCTTTTCATTGCTCACTAAAGGAGAAGGGCTTCACAAAGCAGGGGAGAGAGTCTTTGGGGCTAGAGGCTAGAAGGTCCCTTGACAGTGCTACTGTAAATGAGTTGGGGGCTGTGGCTGGGGCACCCCTCCTCCCTCCATGCCAGTGCCCAACTGAGGAGAAGAGCCTTAACTCACCAACCTGAATTCAACTTTCCTCAAGGAAGCTGGGGAGCTTCCTAAGAAACCCTCCTTCAACTCAGGAATTTTATACTGAAAAAAAACCTGCTTACAAACTTTAAAAAAGAGTTTGCCTTGAAGGTTATATATTTTTGCCTATATCAATACATTTTATAAAAATGTTTCATATCATTAATTTATACCTAGGTTCATTTAGTAGGTTCCTTTCCCTAGATTTTGACACATGAGCCAGAGAGGAGGAAGTAAGTATCCTACTAGTTTCCTCTCCAAAAAAATGAGAAAATATTTAGACCATTAGGGCAATGATAAACTTTATAAACAAAATGGTGTTTGAAAGTAAACTATAATATATAATATAAACATATATAAATTAAACTGAAAAAAACTAGAAAAACTAATGGCTACATGAGCACTCAACTGTTCTAGCAACCAAATGTCTTCAGCAAAATGGACTGGGGACTCTAGTACAGATTATTCTCTTTTTCTATCTCCATTTGCCATTGATTATTAAATAATAATCAATAAGTGGGACTTTCCTTCAGAATCCTTCTCAAGGTCAGATTTTCTCTCTTCCTTTTTTGGGGGGGAAGGGGGGGTCAATGCCATATACTACCCCAGGACATGTTTTTGTTTTCTTCTGTTCTTCTGTGGTGCTGGGAAGTATGTGGTGCAGGGCCTTGCACATGCTAGGCAGGTGCTCTACCACTGAACCTCACCTCCCAGCCCAGCACATAGTAACAAAATGGATAAATTCAATCATTTCAAGAAACAAGGCTCAACATTCCAGTTTTAAGTAGTGATGTCAAAACAACAAGAAGCACTGTCACGCTGTACTACAGAGAATTTCTATGTGATTCGCTTTCTGGATAGAGTTTTGAGTTCGTAAAAGGTGCACAAATGTGGAAGTTGAAAGACCTGGGTGTAAACTGCAGTGTTCTAAGATTGAGCACATCTAGTTAAATCCCTCTCCCCACCTTGTGTTTCTCCATCACTATTGATGCCACAATCATCTGGTATCTCTGTCACTGGGAGAGGGATGGATCCTGCCTCTTCCTCTCTCACCTCACACTACCACACACACACTGCTGTTGCCCATAAGGCATCTTTGAGGTAGATATACTTGAGACATAAGCTCAGGGAAACAAGAACTGGAACACGTGGGCTCAACACCAGCTTCATCCTGGAAGCTTCAGGCCTCAGGTCAATCAGTCTGAGGCTGTTTCCTGTGTTGGCAAAATAAGGGCAGTGGCCTAGAGTAGGGGTTGGCAAAGGTTTTCTTTAAAGGACCAGAAGAATAAATATTCTAGGCTTTGTGGACCAAGAGGAAAACCTAAAGACATTATGTAGGTACTTACGTAACGAGAGAGAAGAAAAAATTGAATTTTATTACTTAAAAATGAATATAATTTTTTCTTCTCTCATTACGTAAGTACATACATAATACTTAAAATTAATAAAATTCAAAATGTAACAATTATATATATATAGTAATATAGGCCCAATAATGAAAAGAACTGGATTTATTTCTGGGCACTAAAATTTGAATTTCACATAATTTTCATGTGTCATGAACATTATTCTTTTCTGACAATGTAAAAACAGGCTATGTGCAGATTTGACACTCAGGCCATAGGCTGCCAATCTCTAGACTAGATCAACAGCGTTCCTTTAATATATGAATCTTTGTCTCTTGTTTTAAAATCTACATCCCTACTTCTAAATCATAACTGGTTAAGCCTTTCCATGGGGTTTTGCTTCTTGGTTGCCCTCTCCTAGCCCTTTCAACTACACAATCAAAGCCTCCTTTGAAGGAACCAGTTCAGACTAACTAGCACTTTCAAGTATCACCCTAGTGACTGTCAGATGAATCAAACATGAACTAGGCAGGCAGACTTCCAGGTACTCCCCATTCTGACCTACTCCTATATGCTCTTATCTCTTATTAGGTCTGGGCATCCTATTGCAATCCCCTGTGCATGACCTTTATCTTTCTACATAGCCCCCATCCAGCTTTTCAGGGTGTGTTTCATAGAACACTCCTCCCACAAGTTACTAGGAGAAAGGTGTCTTGCTCAAACACATTTGGCAGATGTTGCATACCATCTCTCCCTCTTGGAGAAGCATAATGCATTTCACATGTTAAAGGTACTGAGAAACACTGCAGCAAAAATATGATTAAGAAAGGAAACATTTAATGTTTTTTCGTAATTTTGCTTTGTTGTTGTTTGTGGTAACAACTATTACATCCTGTGGAGGAAACCTTGGCTTGCCCTGTTAATGAATACCTATCACCAGGGCCACCTGGGGGACTGCCCAACACTGTTCTGTGTCTAAAAAACTCCCTGAGACTTGGCAGAAATCAGAGCTTACTTCCCACTGGAGAAACCAACACCCCCAGATTCTCGTGTCCCCATATAGCTAGTATGGGTGTTCGGAAACAGTGCCAATCAGGTGTTCAGACTTGAATCCTGAATTGGCTTCAAAGCCTTGTAACCTAAAGATCTCTCATTTATCTTAATGGACTCTCCCCTTTTACTTATAAGTAAAGTCTCTAAGTTCTAAAAAATCAGCATGAATTTTCTTCTCATCTCCCCATTTTGCTAACAACTATAGTTTTCAAAACCAATGTCTGATGATTATGATGTTCACTAGCCAACTCCATGCTCATAGCTATGTTTAGCAAAAAGAAAATGTGGATTACAAAAAGACTAGAAGATAATACATTCTGGGGTGGGTTAGAAGAAAATAGCAGTGCCCATATTTCAAGGAAAGGAAGATCGGTTTCATCTCTTGGCAGGCCTGATTTATGTTCCCCTTCTCCCCATATGGACATTACCCTCACTCCCTTGCCCTTTAGAGTAGCAGGGATTTTTTCCTTTTTTTTTTTTTTTTTCCTTCCTCCTTCACATTTTAACCTAGGAAACTACTCATTTATTTTGTTTTTTCTTGTTTCAGTGAAGTTACATTTTCCTTAACTTGGCTGTACTCTTGCAAATTATGGTTCATTTTTATACATGGGTGCTGGAAAAAGCTTCCAAGAAGCCCCAGTATTGCATTATAGAGCCAGGCCTTTCATTTTGAATTGTCTTTCTAGATACTCATACAGATCTTGAGTCTTTTATAACTGCCTCTCCAGAAGGATTTATGAATAATTCATAATCTTAGCATTTTTAAACAAAAAGTTACTTGGATGGCAGATTTGGAAGGCTGAAAATTAAACTTTCTGTGTGTTCAAGACAAAAAGTAAGCTCTACCAGAATTAGTAAGTTTAAAACACTGTAACTATGATGTTTCTATAGAAAATGGAGAAAGAGAATAAAGAGAATTAACATTTGTCAAGCAACTATCATGTGCTAGAAACTGGGCCAATGTGTATATTTTATCATATAATCTGCATGAATCAAAACTTAATATAAGAAACTGATGTTCAGTGCTTTTGTAAATTGTCTAAGATCACATGGGCTGGGGCTCAAGCTCACAGAATGTTTAAAATGTCCTAAAGTCCATTTTCTTTTTCTATGTTACAAATTGCAAGCACAGCAGAGAGCCTCAAAAGACTGGCTGAATAAAGGATGGATTTACTTACATTGTTGTTGGTCACAGCAAAGTACTGCAAATTACTCAGATACTGGATTTCTTCTGGAATGAAGGTCAGGTGGTTATAGCTTAGATCCAAATAATATAGTTTGGTGCATAGAAAAAGCTGCAAGGGCAGATTCTCAATATTATTATGATCCAAAGAGAGCTGCTCTAGGTTAGATAATGCTCCTATCTGGGCAGGAATATAAGCAATGTTATTGTGCCACAGTTTTAAGCAGGAAAGATTTTGAAGATGCTGAAAGCTAATGATCTCTTCCACAGTTTTAAGGTTATTTTCCTTTAGGTCCAACTCATGCAAATTGTTCAGGCTAAAAATGGAGTGTGGAATGCGTTCCAGGTCACAGCTGATCAGTTCTAGGCTTTTTAAGTTGACCATCTTTTTCAAGTTGTTCAGCACAACCAGTTTGCTTCCTTCATTGTCAAGGGACAGCTTCTGCAGCGAAGGCAGAAGGTCTGTGACCACCTGGGGGATCCGAGACAGGCTACTCTTCAAGTAGAGGGTCCTCAGGTTTTTTAGGTCCTGAAAGCCCTCCAGCTGCATGGTACTCAACTGCTCTGGGAGAACACAGCCTGACAGGTAAAGTTCCTTGAGATTCTTCAGGTGAAATACCCAGCGTGGGATTTTTCCCATTTCAGTAAATTTCAGGCGGAGGATCTTTAAATTCTCCTCTAAAAAGGCCAGTGCAGGATGGTCTACCACCAGAGATGAATGGTATATATGAAGCTCCTTGAGGTTGACCAACTGCGAGACTGCAGAGGGCAGTTTGACCTCAGGGATAAGCTCTAGGCTGAGCACTTCCATTTCCGTTAACTCGAACACGTTGTCTGGAAGACCACTGAGCATGAAGAGATGCAGCTCTATCTTGTCCTGGGAGTTTTTCACAAGCTTACTTTTCAGTTTCTCAACCGTCCATTCGTTGTTCAGGTTGATCTGCTTCAGTTTGTTCTCACTGACCTCTGACAGGAATATGGAGAAGCGTTTGGAATAAAGAGGATCATACTGGTCAGCCAGATGGAGGATGAAGGCAAAGTCATTCTTGACGTCCGGGATATCGCTGTAGTTGCTTTTTTCTCTTAACGCCTCAAAGGAATATTGCTTCAGGGAACTTCTCAGCATCCACCATAAGCTATAGGAGGAGGTGAGACCGTATAGTATTACCAAAATAACATAAAATGAAGCCAGGACTTTAAATATTTCTGCCAAGGAGTAGACACACTGGTAGCGCTTATATCCTGTAAAAGCCTGCACGTCRATTGAACAGTCAATTTCAAGAGTAATGTAGGTTAAAAAATATGGAACATAAGTTATGATGAGGACAAACAAAATGACTTTGACTATTATCTGCTTCAGATACACCCGGTAAATGATGTCCTTCTGCTCCACGTGCAGACGGAACCGTTTCACTTTCTCAAAGATGGCTTTTGCCTGTTCACCTTCCTTCTTGTCCAGGACACTGGAAGTTGGGCTTTCTATGCTGGTTGACTCCAACCCCGACTGTGGGTAAGGCAGGGACTGCTTGCTGGAGTCCACCTCAGCTGAACACCCTGAGGACGAAAGCAAAGTCTTGGACTTGGAGACCTTCAGGGGCCTCACTGACTGTTCAGCCACCGTTTCCGACAGGGCACGGGTGGTCCATGGAGAATCGAAGCACTTGTGAAGGATGGCCACAAAATGCTCCAGCCTGGAACTGGTGCTGGGGTAGTGAAGCCAAAAGTTGCTGCAGGCTGCAAAGATAAGTGTGTGCAAGAGCACCAGGTAGGGGAAAAACTTCGCAAACCAGTGGAGCTGTTTCTCGTAACAGACTGCGTCGATGTAGGAGTACTGCTGTCGGTGGAGATCATTCTGGATTCGGAGGGGGAGCGGAAGCGGTGTCCCAGAATTAGAGGATGTATTCACGCTGGCTTTCAGGAGGTCCCAAGGCACAGCGCAGTGATTGTCAAATTCCACTTTGCACGGAAGACAGCACAGGACCCTGCTCTGAGTGAGCTGGAGAGCTCCGGCCAGCACAGCCACCAACAGCATGATGAGGGTGATGTAATACCAGAAGACGTCCCACCATGGCTTTAAGATGTGATAAGATGACTGGGCGTCTGCTAAGCATTTTAGCTCTGTTAGTGTAATCATGACTCTCCTTTGCACGAGTACAGGAACTGGTGAGGAAAAGAAAAGAAACACTACTGAAACAAATACTCACATGTACATTTCATTCTTATGCCTGTATGTAYATTCCCTACCCAAGTAGGTTTTTAGCTCAAGGCTGATCATGGGGCACATGAACCTTCTGGTTTCATTTGAAAACACAGGCCATATCAACCCTGCAATGTAAAGTCCCTGACATGGGGGCTCATTTGRTGATAGGTAGAGTGGATCTGTAAAGAAATTTGGGGGTAGTTCTTGAGGCAATTATTTAGTTACCTCCCTGGTTTAAACTCCAGGTTGGGTTACTAAAAGCCAGGAGCCATTTTTTTCTTGTTTTCTTTTTTTAAAGTGACACGGAACAAATTTTCTTGTGCTACCAATTTCTAATGGTAACATTCCATGTTCTCTAGAAGGTCTAAGTAAGCTCCTTTCTGCATGGCACCTCATGTCTGGAACATCATTTATATATAACCTAAGTGCTGTTCTAAACACAAAAAGGAACCTTATTTGTGCAAGGTTGGTTATAAGGGTTTCCCCCTTTGGCTTACAGGAATCTACCTATTTCTTCCCAAACTGTCACCGAATGTTATCTCCTTTCCTCAGCTCTTGCTTTACAATTTAAGTATGAGTATTTAAAAATAGCATATTTGGGCTGGTGATTTGGCTAGTGCTAGTGCACTTGACCAGCATGTGTGAAGCCCTGGGTTTGATAATCAGCACTGCCCCCACCCCACCCCGTTTTYCCAAAAGAAAGAAAGAAAATTGAGTATTTAAAGTTGGGAAATAAGAATAATGATTGAAAAAGGAACAGGGAAGAAAAATCCTGTTAGAATACTCAATCCTTGGGATTCAATACATTTTCTACTTTATAGTCAGAACAGATTCAACTTCCTCGGCTTGATAATGTGGCATGTTTAATGCCGTAATGGCACAGCGCCAACAGATAAGTGATTAAGGCACACTCTATTAATATTTTTGCCTTTAGAAAAACAAGACACATTTTATATCTCTACCTTGAAAAGGATTCAGACAGTTCTCCTGAGAATTTCTGTTTAGCCACATTTGTATAAATTGTTGAAACAATTGCTAATTAGTAAAATCCAGACCACCTATAAGTTGGTGCAGAATAAGCTAAAAGGAAACACATGGAGCTTATGAAGTGTCTGATAAGAAAAAGAAAAAAAGAGACCATGGTAGCACTGTTGTTGTTTGCTGGAGAGTCCAGCTCTAATTGTGCTCAGGGGCTGCTCTTGGCTTTCTTTTTTTTTTAATATTTATTTTTCAATTTTTGGTGGACACAACATCTTTATTTATTTTTATGTGGTGCTGAGGATCGAACCCAGTGCCCCKCACATGCCAGGTGAGCACACTACCGCTCGAGCCACATCCCCAGCCTTGCTCTTGGCTTTCTTGAGTCTGATGTTTCTTTCCCGGGCCTGAGTTTCTTGTTAGATAACCTGTTACCTGTAGCACCCTCAAAAGAAACCTCTCTTGCTCTCATGGGAGACTAGTTCCTGCCTTGAACCTTAGAGTCCTATCACAAAGGCATGCTGTTAATAAGCATTTCTCTTTTTGCAGGTCTGAACATATTCCTGACCATCTGACTCTGAGCCCTATTCCTTCATGCTCTCCCCCTTTTGCTAGGAGTCCCATGATCCTGGATTTTAGTTTCTGAACTGCAGTGCCACTTTCTGCCTATATTCTCTCTGGGCATTTATCGAATATATGTATTCCACTTCTTCCTAAGCCCTGTGGCTTGATTATATAACTTCTCCAGAGCTTCCCTCCCTTACTCTAGGTTAGTGGGTCTGACTCTCAATTCCTCCCATTCTGCCTTGCCCCCACTGTGGTTAACCATAATTGCATGTCAAGACAAGACAAAAACCAAAAAACAAGAGGATTACATGAGATAAATATGTAGTTGTGGACTTAGACCCCAAAATACCATAAGCATGATGGGTGGGGAGAATAGTAGAAATATTGCTGGATGAAAGAACATGTTAAGAATATCTACGAATTTTAACTGTCATGTGTGCATAATTTCAGCTAATTGTATAATAGCTATTATGCTAAAACAGTGATTTATAGCCTTTGGCCACATTAATTTGTGAACCCAGATAAAAGGGTGACAGGTCTTTTGTGCCTGTCTGGTGAAATCACACCTGGAACTTAATGCTCACTTACGGGCTGAAGACAGAAAGGGCAACAAAATCATCAGGAGCTGCCATCTAAAACCATTCTTGGCAGAGGGATACAGGGAATCAATGACATTCAGCTGAGATAAAGGATGACTAGGAAAGATGAGAACTTATCTTTACATTTTTGTGCAATTACCTCATKAATAAAAGAATTAATGGATTTGTTTCAGATGCAAACTGGGTGGGTAGAAGATTTAGAGAGTTGCTTCAATTTGTTGGTGGAACATCAACTCTTTGAAACAGTTTAGCTCCCTGTCACTAGCTGGGGCTAGATGAATAAAATGACCATCCCTCGGGGATGCTGTAAAGGAATTTCTTGTAATAAATAAAGAGAGTGAACTAGATAATCTCAATGGGCTTTTCCAGCTCTGAGTTTATGGTGACATATTTGTCCTCTAAGRACCCTGAGAATTAAATTCTTTTATGCAACTGAAACTGTGGAAGAATGAAACAAACAGTTCAAACAATGATAAAGGTATTTGGCAGACAACAGAGATTTACTCAACAAGGAATACTAGCCAACACTGACCAAAATAATTATTAAGTATTTATACTTACTAAAATGGAAAAAATGAATCAAATAAATCAGCTATGCTTCAATCAGGGGGTCTACACCTTTTGAAGTTTCTTAGACACACCATCTCTGAGTTTGTCTTCATTCTATGAGAAAGCATAAGTATCTTGAAAGACATGTATTCATTCCAATGAACAAAAACATTGCAGAAACTGTCTTTCCAGACCCTCTCCATCAGGAGACATGATATGGCCAATAGATTATCATAGGTTAGTTTACTTTCAACTCAGAGGCACAACCTGGCAAAGCTGTATATACCAGTCCCCACCCATACCCATCAGACCATGTTCATACCCTGAACTCCATTTTCAATTACAGAGTAGTTTCTACAGAAATTTAGGTCCAACATGTTTTAAAATTCTGTATCTATAACACTTAGCTATTCCCAAATAGTTTGCGTATGTTAATTTCTCTCACTAAGCCTCATACACAGTTGGTCTTATTTGCATTTCTCAGATGGCTTGTCAAACCATGTAATTTCTGTACTCTAATTTAAAACCACACTTCTATCCAAATATATATGCTCCAAAAATTTAGTCTACCAGTTTCATTAGAAAAAGTCACAAGGCAAGAAGACTTTCTCATACACAACTCAGAAATATGGCTGAAATTCCCTGAATTTGTCATTACATATATTAGTATGCACATAGTTTTTTTTTTTTTTTTAAATTCGGTAGGTTAACAAAAGCCATTCTCTGCATATACTACAATCACTTGTGACAGATGAACTGCAGGAAAACTCTGAAATGCTATATTAAAAAAAAAAATTGAGTCTGAAAAAATACATTTTTAGTGTCCATGGAAACTCAAAAAAGTTGCTGGGAAGGGTTTTATTTTCCATATATATATATATATATATATATATATATATATATATAGTATTTGAATTCTAGCAAAGAGTATTTGCCCCAAATTGTATTGGGTAGAAAGCTCTATTAGAATATCAGACAACCTATCTGTGCACTAACTCAGCACTACCGGAGAATAAATTTACAACATAACAGCATTTAGAAGTAGACAGCAGGATAAAGACTTATGGAGCACTAGGGTGGAGTTCAGAGGTAGAATGTGTGCTCAGCATGCATGAGCCTTGGGCTCAATAGCCAGCACACACATATGCACACTCTGATTGTGACACACTTTACATACTCTTCCACAGCACTACCTCTATAATTTCCAGAATGCTACTYCCTCATCATGATGCTCCTTACACAAGTTTTCCTTTAATATTACAAATACATTTCCTACTTTATAGGAAGTATGTTTATGAAAGAGAGATATCAACCTCCAACTAACAGTAACAATTTTAAATTATCATAATAAGAAACTACTATCAATCTACCAGTGAACCACTCCTGAACATGTTTGCTATATTCATTCCATCTGAAAATGAATTGGAAAGGACTTTCCTGTTTGCCTTTTAAAAAATTATGTACTTTTCCTGTAATCACCTAATTCAGATTTCCTTTGATGAGTTCCTTGTCAATAAGAGCAAATAAGAATTTATTGTTAGTGGAAAATACCTTGCTCAAAGCAACAAAACCATCAAGAAACAACTTCAATTGGAACTTAGGAACTCCAACCCTGAACCTTGTCAATGCCATATCACAAGGTAATATCTCAGTAAATCCAATGAGCTGTGCTGAGGTCTGTTTCTCAAAAGCTGGAGAAAAAGTTATAGAGCTCTTTCCCCCAACATCCACATTGTAACTGAGTTCTATTATAATCTTGAAAAACAAGGATGCAAATGTAGTTTACTGCAAGGTCTCAGTTTTATGGATACATACCATGTAACCTATTCTCATAGCATAAATATTTTTCTACTAAATATTTTTACTGAATTATCTAAGACCTAATATTTAAATACATAGCAACTTGATTAAAGGATACATGAAAACTTTCAAGCATTCTTACCTATCAAATGCTGCTAATTTTTCTAATTGAAGTACTTAATTGGAATTAGAGCCATTATACCTTTTAATACAGTTTGCATGTGCCCTAAACATTTTCCAAACCATATTTTGGCAAAGAATGAGGATTCAATCCAAATGAAATCCCTATTTCTAATACACAAATGCACTAAATTAGTTCAAAGAAATTATGTTAAGAGTACCAGATTTTATGGTCTTAATCCCATTCCTTTAGCTTTTAAATCTCATTAAAAAATCATAAAAGCTTTTCAAAACACATGAATTCATCTGACAATCTCATCCCAAAGTCTCTAAGACTGGAACAACACCACTCAACTYAGGCATCTTTATTTCCCAGTAGACCTTATTTTACTTTGAAAGCATTTCCAAAATAACCAGTGAAAAAATAAACAAATGAGGATCAGATGGTATTTAGAGTCATTGTATGCTGAGAACGACATGCTTTTTCAAAGATCTGTCCTTTGATCCCAGAAAGCCGGGGTTCTCTACACTACTCTCACTGAAACTTGATTTAAAATAGCAGAATATAACAGTCACTAATATGGCATTATGGAAAAATGTGGATGTGTAACCGATGTGATTCTGCAACTTGTATTTGGGGCAAAAATAGGAGTTCATAACCCACTTGAATCAAATGTATGAAAGATGATATGTCATGAGTTATGTAATGTTTTGAACAACCAATAAAAAAMCCCTTACATTCTGTCAAAATGTTTATCAGTTCTAACCTATATTTAACTATAATTTAAATTTGCCTCTTTTTATTTATCTCCTTAGAAAATAATGTATCTGTACCTCTGAATTATTTGCCCTTCTTTATACTAAAATAACCCATTTAACTGCACTTCAGAAATCTGAAGCCCAGCATTTAGCATTTTGCCTGTATTTATGTGATAACTAGTTGCAAGGATATTTGATATATCTGTTCCCTTATGTCCCTTACCAGTTCCTTCAGATCTTGTCAGTACATAGACTTTCAGATAACAAACATCCTTTCCAAACTTGGTCATAGTTTAGAGACCTAAGAGATAGATTTATCTGGTAGAATGTTTCTTTAATATTAATGTCCATAAAAATTGCAGAGAGCTTATTAAAACAAAAAGTGAGCTTGCCATGGTGCCAATGATCTCAGCTACTCAGGAGGCTTAAGGCCGGAGGATAGCAAGTCCAAGGCCAGCCTTGGCAACTTAGCAAGACCCTGTCTGGCAAACAAAACACATAAAGTGATAGGATCCTACCTTCAGAGTTTCTGGTTCATAAGGTAGTTCTAACAAATTCTAAATTGGATGCTACTGGTCCAGGGATCACCTTTTGAGAATCACAGTTTTGAGAGAGCAGTTTTCAACTTTGGCTTCACATTGGAACTGTCTGGGGGCACTTTTAAAAGAAACCTAATCACAAGCYCTATCCCTACAGAACAATCCAAGTGGTCTAGGTGAGGCAAAAATTTTCCTCAGGAGGAGAAAACTTGTAAAATAGATTGGCAATAAATTATCTGGGGAAAAATGCATACCTTTTAAATCTTCTTGGCAATTACACTAGATGTCTACAATGCTGTCTCTCCCGACTATAGTTAGAGCTTCAGAGACTCGGGTATGTGAGGAGTAGAACAATGAGTCACTGGCAGGACAGACTGAAGGAGGAGGGACTAAAAAGTCTGAAAATCTGTTTCAATATGGGGTAAAGAAATAATGTGTAAATTTTATAATATGCTTGAAAAGAAAGCAAAGAATGAAATAGTTACTGCTATATTTTGGATCTTAAAAATCTTCCAAAGGCTGTGTGTCRGAAGTTAGATCCCCCACCTTGGGAGGTGGTAGAACCTTTAAAAAGTGGCTCCTAGGGCTCAGTGGTAGAGTGATTGCTGAGCATGTGTGAGGTACTGGGTTTGATCCTCAGCACCATATTTAAAAAATAAACAAGTCTCCATCTATAACTATGGGGAAAAAAAGTACACCTAGAGAAAGTAAGTCAGGTGAGTGGGTGGGGGGAATGACCTTCAAGGAGATAATGGGATCCTGGACCCTTTGCTGTTTCTTGTGGAGAGCCATCCATGAACTACATCAGTATCATAGCCTAGTGAATAGGAGAATCTGGTGTCTGGGAACTTCCAGTGGAAATTTCTTTTGGCCAGGACCACCCAAACACATGTGACCCTATTCAAGCTCTGCCCCAGGCCCCACACAGCACAGGACATGGGGTGTCCTGCTGCAGCCACACAGCCTCTCAGAGATGGGTGTGACCTGCCAAGATGCCAATCACCCTGTTGCTGCAAGACATCAAGAAGCAAGACTCCACCCATGAAGCCTTATCCCTGCCTTTGTTGTACCCCCTTTAAATAAATCAGGGGACCATTTTCTAATTGTCCAGCTTCAGCTCCTGTGTGGGCTGGGCCTATCAGGTGCTCTCCTTTAAAACTATTTTTCTGACTCTGTCTTTTGTTCTCCACTAATTATTTGTGACTTATTTTCTTCCATGGTCCTTTTTCCCCTCCTACACAGGAAAAAGGACCCCCTGGTGAGGCGCTGGCAGCCTCCCCATAGTTTCCCTCTTTCACATCCTGGCCATGATACCATGAGCAGTTTCCTCTGCCACATGTTCTAGCCATGATGTACTTCCTTGCAATAAGGCCAACTGATCAAGGACTGAAACCTCCAAAACTGCAAACCAAAATACCCTTTTCTTCTTTTTTAATTGATTATCTCAAGTGCTCTGTCACAGTAACAGGAAGCTCACTAAAATACTTATTATAAATTAAAATTCAACACCATGTAGCAACCTCTGATGGAAGTCCAGAGTGGGAGTCAAATGAATTCCRATTTTGTTCCTATGCTAATATAGTACCTTACAGTTTGTAGCATGTGGTGCATAGTAAATACTCACACAATAAATACAATGTACAAAAATGCAAATTATAGGAAAAATTTCAGATATTTATGCATAATGTATTCTAAGATGATAAAGACTTTGAGCTGGCCCAAGTGGAGAAGGAGTGGCTAGAACTCAGTGGTATATAGATGGAAGGACTTTTGATTAACTGTTCAGCATATTCCACAATTTAATGGCTTAAAAAAAATTAAGGTTTTATTTCTTGAGATTTTGTTGGGGATTCTTGTATTTCATGGTGTTGGCCAGCACAAAGATGGCTGGAGGGT